TGAGCTACATCACTAGTCCTAATACTAGTTTAACAGTTTTTGTGAAATACAGTCCTATCAAAAAAAAAAAAAATATGTGTAAGGAAAAAAGTATGTTACACTCTTTCAGTTTTAGACTTTGGTTTTTTTTTTTTTCTTCCGGTACTGGGAATTGAACTCATGACCTTGCACTTTCCAGGCAGGCGCTGTGCTGCTGAGCTAAATCCCCAGCCCCCTCAGTTTTAGACTTAAGTAAAAATTTAGTTCTTCAGTTACACTGGCTACATTTCAAGTGTTTTAACAGCCACATGTGGCTAGTGGCTTCATTACAATACAGGGCTAAGTAAAGAACTAGGCAGGGAAAATTATAATTAGTTCTGTCTTTTCCCTCCCTTCTTCCTAGATTAAATTGAGTTGAGACTTGTGTAAGAACCTTTTGCTCTTTCCTACTCATCTCACCTGGGAGTCAGCTGGAGGGTTCATCTGCATCTTTTCCGAGTAAAAGCAACCTTACATCTACGTGGATAAAACTAGTAGTGGTCAGGCTTCTTAAATTGGTGTGAGAGAGCTAGGTAGGCTTAGGGGAGGGATGCAACAAATACAGGGTAACCATGGTACATATTCCAGGGCTTTTTACTTAAAGGTAAATGATTCTAAAGTGTTTTTAATTAAAGCGACCATGGATAATCATGGAATAGGATGTAATTTTTCAATCAAAAAATAAAACGTTATTCTTACTATAGGTCTTTACACTATTCCATGAAACCCTTAATATGTATGTATTGGGATACTCCATATAAGATTTGAGAAAACTGAAAGGAGATATCTGAAATTCCCAAATAGAGATTCATTGAAACCAAACTGGTAGAAAAGGTGAAGAGAAAGAGCTGAAAGAGGTAAGTTACCAAATTCTGCTTTGAGGTAGTTTTAAATTTTGCTCTTGGTTAGCTATACTGAGAAAGTTCTGACTGTAAGAGGGAAAAAAAGGAAGAAAAATTAAAACACGGGCCTTTTCTCAAAGGCAAGAGACAGGGAAGAAGGAACTAGGAGAAATTATGCTTACATGGCAAAATCCTTTAATGAATTTTTACATGGATTCAACCAATATTTTAAAATATCAGGTCTGGCGATTCAGCTCAGGGACACAGCGCCTGCCTGGCAAGTGTGAGTTCGATTCCTGATACAAAAAAAAAAAAAAAGTAAATAAATAAATAAATTAATTAATTAAATTAAATATACCGCAGGATTGAGGTGTAGTGGTAAAGCCCTTGACTAGCATGTATGTGAGATTCTAGGTTGGATCCCAAGTACTGCAAGTCATCATCAACCATCCAAATTCATACTTGTATAGGATGCTTGCACTTTTTATTTTTTGTAAATGTACTTCAATTCCAGAAGCATCTTAAATAATTTCCTTTCTCTGAGGTAAGGAAAAGGGTCATAAAATAGAAGCAGAAATGATGTGAGGGTTCATTTGCTCGTATGAAAAACCTAAGGGCAAACCTACTGGCAACTCAGGAAGGTCTTGAGCTTTAGCTTCCTTATCATTGTAATCAAACCCCGAGCACTTATTTAATATGTGCCAGCCACTGTGAACACAATCTCATTTAATTTTAAAACATTTCAATAAGTTTTTTTTTTTTTTTTTTT